AAAATGAAGTCAAGGAGGACATTGGACAGTGGATGAATCACTTGAAAACGCAGAATAATCCGGATTGGCTCGTAGTCGTAATGGAAGGAAGTGATTCCCGGAAGTCGAACAAGTTACTTCCTCGCGCCACAGTGTTTGACAAGATACGGAGTGATTTCGCGTCGAAACACCCTGAGAGGTGTGTTTCCATCTCGGATCCCTCGAAGTCAGATGCTCGGACCGCTGAGGCCTGGCAAACCCTGCTTTTTCGAATTCGACAATTGTCCTTGGCTGGACTCACTCGGATTCTTACGAAGTTTGAGGAGGAAATGCGAGGTATTGAAGCGTTTCTCATGCTGGGTAATCATTAATTTACAGCAGGTGAAAACGCTGTGTTTCCAGTTTTGTTTCAAATGTGTATTACGATATGCATGTTTAATCGATGATCTCACGTAAAGGGTGGTCCAAAATACGCGTGAAGTGATGTGATTAATTTCTCAAGAAATCGTGAAACAATTTTCTCTTCTTGATGAAAATTTTATAGCTTGAACTGAGCCCGTGAAACTAAATCTAGGGTTTAATAAATTATCCGGAAATTTCCAAAAGCGCTGGAGTATGTTGTCAAGATCGACAGAACAGCCAAAGTAATGTTCTGCTTGCCGGGTGAATGTCGCTTGAAGTAAAATCGAAGTGAGCTTTCATTGCAGTTTTTCGTTGCCGTGCTTTTTATTCGAAGAGATTTTAATCAATTTTATGGATTCGCGTGTTTTTGTCATTTTGATTAGTACTTATTAGTAGTGTCCCTCATTTTGTGTGGAGGGTGACGTGTTAAATTCGCTTGTGCTTCACGTTTTGCTTCTTTTTGATCTGAATTTATTTTACTTCCACAGGTCAAAGGGAGAGACGAGTGGATCCATCTTGGGAATTCTGCCAGTATTTCTTGATGCAAGAAGAACTAGCCTTAGTTTATGAAATGCTAGGTCTGGATGAAGATGCGCTCGTGCAATATGATGAGTTGGATGCCCTGTTCACCCAGTTCATTATCAATGCTGGTGCTGGAGGTACAGTATATCTTGATAAAACGATTTTGATCAATTGTACTGTCGTTTCGTAAATATTCGTCTGATACAGTATTTTTTCGGTACGGTTTTTTTTACGATGTCGTCCAGCTCATGTTTTGGGTACTCAGTTTCTGACTCGCTTCTTAAGCGGCGTAGGAGCAGTAGGTTAATTTATTTATTATCTTATCTGAATCTATCCAACAGTCCGTCAAATGAAGCATTTCCCCAGCATTCCTCCAAATTATCTTAGATCGCCTAACGTCTACCTGAAGACTAAGCAAATTATTTTAATTTCTACATAATGTATAACCTGACGACAAAACTTGATCAATTGATCCCAAATGAAGTATCCTGACTAAACGCTTAATAAACCTATCCTAAGTTACGGAATAAAGTATGTTACAATTGAGCATTTTACTGCAGCAGCGTATGAGGGTCATTTGAACAAACACTTGATTATAATTTTACTTTGCAGTACTTCTCTTAACTCTGCTTTGTGAGGGTGTTATTTAAACTGAGAGAAATGTTGTTTTCTGTTTTCGTAGGACTTGAAGACAACCTTTCTTACCTTATTTTGATGTACCGTATTCCTGTTTATCTTCTGTAGATATTCCGAACTGGATGCATTCCTTTGCGCAACCTCCCGAAAATTGGGATGGAGTGCGACTGGGTGGAATCCGGCGAATAACGGCTAAACGTCGCGGAGGAAATTTATCTCCGTCCTCTCCGGTTCGGTTGAGGAACCAAGAAAGTGCTCGAAGGTTTCTAGAAGGAGTTCGCACGGACATAGTTGAAAATGATGTTTCGTTGCTACAGTTCAGGAATTACCTCTTCAGTCGCCAGTGCTCTCTTCTTTTGGGAC